GAGAGAGAGAGAGAGTTTACCCATATACCTCTCTTTTATTTTGTGGTGGTATAGAGTAAAATGGTCTTTCTTCTCTTTTTCTTACATGTTTTAGTTTAAAACCCAAGAGCTAAGGATTGTTCATTCCCTTTTCATGCAGGTGTTTGATTTTTTGTCCTTTCATATGTTCCTTCTATAGAGTTTTCAAACTTCTGTCTAACAACTTATTAACTTGCAAGAATGGCAGTTAAAAAATCTATTAGAAAAATGAGATATTGCTTTTTTTTTTTGGGGAAAATGACCTCTCCCCCCCCCCCCCTCGTCGAAATTTCCATCCCAATTAACCTATTGGGTTCACCAAATTCATCCCCTCAAGTTTAAAATTTTGGGATTGTTAGCCGCTAATTATGCTTTTCTTAGCTTTTTTTACAAATTTAATATTTTTATTTTATAAAATGCCAAACCCTCATATTAGTCAACTTCCTTTCCTTTTTCTTCCGTTGCTTAATACCAACCTTACCTCCACAGACCCCACTCTATAAATATAGACATGAAAAAAAAATGATTTTTTTTAAACATTATGACTTATTTTACAATTGTATCAATATCTTTCGAACTTGAAAAATGATTAATCAAGATCTTTATTACTATTGTTAATGGATTATTATTATTTATTTAATTAAAGAAATTTCTCAAAACACCTATAAGAGATGAATTATTTAACACTTAAATATTGTTGTTGTCATTAATATAATAATTTTGAAGTATAATTGTTATTAAAATAAAAATTGTATATCAAGTCACAAAAAAAAAAAATTTACGATGGCTAATGTATGGGTTTGGCATTTTGTGTTCAAATTTGTAAAAAGAATAAATAAAAGGAGGGTTAATGGTCCCAAAGTTTTAAATTTGAAGGCGTACTAGTGATTCAAGGGGCTAATAGGGATGAAAATTTCAGGGAAGGGGTAGAGGTCATTTTCTCCTTTTCGGATTTTTTTTTTCTCGTGGTTTTTGTTTTTTAGGGGGGAGGGGGTTGATAAGGTGAGAACAAGTATTTTGCTATTTTACTATTGATTACCAAACTATAGAAATTGGAATTTCAGGTTATCTTGGGTGGCATTCAAATACAACCATGGGCGGGTTGCGTCATGTGGAAGTTATTTTGAAGCAAAAAATAGTTATTAGAGCAGAAGTGGATTATGTTGATGGTAAAGAGGCTAAAGTAGTGGTTTCAAAAGAGGGTTATCCTAAGAGATACATCCCAATATGAGTGAGCCCATATCAAATCATGTCATCATGTGCCCCTGTCTATTGAAAAGAAGGACAATGACCTTGGTATAGATTCTATTCTCTCAGTTCTATGTTAAGTTTCTCTATTGAGTTTCTTGAAATTTTTCTTTTTCAGATAAGTTTTTTGCATGTATCATGAAGGCTCTGATATGTAATACTATGAGCTTTGTTGCAGAAATTGTGAGCACAAATTGTGTTGGGTTTTGTTCTAGTCCAAAAGGGGACTTAAGGTTTGGGAAAACATAATTCTCAAACCTGAAGTCCATACTCTAGAATCTAACCTGATCACAAAGAAAAAGAGAACGGAAAATTTACATTTGAATCAACATCCTTATATTGCAGCTTGTAGCTTTGTGACTTGCGATTCATCCGCAAACATTCATTTATGTGGTCTTGAAATCTTCTGCCTGATACTTTACAAATCTTATCACCCATTCATTAACTATTCCATTGGTTGGGGTCGGAACTCCTACATAACCAAACATAAGGGACACGTATATGTTTCACCTGATTTGTTACCCACTAGTAAAAACAAGTAAACAGAAATCCTTATGAAGGAAAAAAATTCTTATTTCACCTGCGAAAGAAACCGGTCGGTCGAAATTAGTGAACCATTCATAATCAGGGAGCCCTGAACCTCTCATGCATCATGTGTTTTTTGAACTTCCCATGTTCCCATCTCGCCCATACTAACGATGAATGGGGAAAGCCGGCCAGAATATCAGGTGCTAGAGCTGGGCAGCGGCGAACCGGGGATAGGACTTCAAGACTTTTGATTGCTCGGACCATTCATTTTTAGTTTTGAGATGCGGGTTTGGACTTGAGAAAGAGATTCAAGGGATGCGTACCACAAACTACCTTTCCCCAATAGTGATAGTTCTGATCCTGCACCTTGAGAGTAGTTTCCAACTGATAAACTCTTCCACCCTTCCTAGCTTTGGCTCTAATAAATGATAAGTGGATTCTACTAAAAGGGTTGGAGTTAAGCTCGAAAGCCAACAAGCAACTACTAGCACGAAAGCCGTTGCGCTAACGCGCATCCGTTTTTTTGCATAAAATAAAATTAGACCAAAGAAAGAGAAATAAATAAAATTAACCTTCTTCTTCAAATCTTTCCTTTGCTATTTCCACTAATTTCTTTTTCCAATTCTGTAATATACTTCAAGTGAGATGCATTGATGATGTTTTGAGGCCAATGTTATTGTAAATTTGTAAATCAATATGGACATGAAGTTACAAACAGATTTTCTTCTTCTCTGATTGCCATCGAACATTTTCAGGTACAATTCTCAAACGAACTGTGAACAACAATTTTTCTGGATTGTCCTTTGGGCTGCCATTTACAAAGCCCAATTCTGAGTTTGTTAAGTCTGTAAATGAGAAGTTCTCAACTGACAATAAATTATTACTAGTCTACCAGGAAGGAATGAGGTTAATCCAAGTTGAAATTTTTTGGTAGTTGGTTATCCTCGAGTTTCCAGTTCCAATTTGTCTACACGTGCTATGAATTTATCCAGTTCTCATTGAGTGGGAGTTAAATTTCCATGTCGTTATCTTTCATGTAGTTTTGGTGGCCTTTGCTCTTTTCATTTTGAAATATCTGCATACAAATATTGGTTTTCTGTCTGCTTTGTGGATATTTACCGTTTTTACCAACTTCAAAGATTGTGTAGGTAACTTCATCCATGGTTCATTAATTTCTTTATAGTTCTCTTTATGCAACTCTTGATGCCTTTACTTTTTATTTTACAATTAGTGCATACTTTATAGGAATGGAATCATGTTTTGCAGAGTTTTACCTCCAACATTATATGGTTCGAGAGCACAAACGAACGGATACATATATCTATGACTTGCAGGAAGAATATTTCTGGGCCCATTTGATTATGGGGTTCCTTTTTGCACCTTCACTTTGGAGACTCACAAAATCTATAAGGGATGTTGGCACCATCATTGAAATTTGATGGTTTTGTGATCTTTTGTTTCATTTGCAAATGAATAATTTCATGTTAACTGACTTGGTAGAGAGTCAAAAGTAAAATGTTTGCTTGATCTACTTGTTAACTTTGAGAAGCATGAAACCCACTTAAGTATGGTAAATGTTTGTTGGTTGTCATGGAATCTTGAGTGTATGCGACTATGAGTAAAGCACCTAGACATTTGATGCTCTATGGATGACTTCAATGGCAGAGGGATTTTGCAGGCTTCATGCTCATAATGGCAAGGAGCAAGGATGGACAAGGTTCCATTGATTTGTAAAATCTTCCAAGTGAATAAGATGATGTTTTATTTGAGGATAAACTTATGTTATTCTGAATTTTATGCAGGAATCTTCACATGTATATTCTAAAGGCACCATGATAATACGGGATATGGATTGACTGGGATCCCATAGTGCTGTGTTGGCTAACAAATACCTGAATCCAATACATCGCTTTAAAGGAAGCTTTTAACATGCATCAGAGTAAAGATTAAACAACACAGACAATAGGGTTCTTGGCCTTGTCTGCTTAATATTTTCTGTAAATTTTGGCTCATATGATAAGTTGATCAGGTGCATGAGTTAACTAGCCCACCTGGCTTGGTAGAGTGCAAGGCTCTTAACCTTGTGGTCATGGCTTTGGGAAGTTGGGAAGATGGTTGTTTTATATTGATGAGCATGTTGAACCTCTGTAGGACTCTAGCTCAATGAGACTCTGCATTTGCAGCCCTATGGAAGACCACCATGGCAACTAGGCCATTTTGGTATGGCTTACTTGCCACTGAGGGCTACCTACTGGTGATTTTCTTCATATTTGGAACTATGGTTCAAGAATTCAATTTAGGATCTATATTGACGACGAAGCTATGTTGGCATCCATTGAATCAGCCACTATAAAAGATGTGAGGTCAGAGATTAAAATAATAATTGCATTTCAAATTACAGCTTAATGACAAATATTTACAAAATATTGAAAGAAAGACCTATGTGATCTTTTGCCAGGAAATACAATTTTTTTTTTTTAATAATAATCACCCCTTATGTTTTTGGCAATAAGATCACATACATATGGTCTTATTACAAACAATAGATATTCCAAAAATAAATAACACATCAATAAAATAAACCTCAATTACTTGATGCCATTCATACAACCTAATACTGAGCTTGAGAATATAAAATAAAAGAGCAAGTAAATAAAAGAAAAGATGTCGGAGATTACCTCAATCGGGCTTTTTACACCTCACATCGAGTCACCACGTCCAATGGTACTGGATCTGTGGTCTAGTTTCAATATCGAACCGGGATAGCTGATTTCTGCCGAACTAGGTAACCACTCTTAAAATCTCTACTAAACCTTAACCCCCAAAATTAACTTAGGCTCCCTCTAATTTTTCCAACCCTTAGTTTCTTTTTAGGTCTTGAGAGGAAAGAGAGTACTACCAAGGGTTTTGGAGAGAGAAAGTTAGAGAGAGAAATATAGAGAAGAGAGAGTGGGGTATGCCCCTCTAGGAGAGAGAGAGGTGAGAGAGAGATTATGGGGGAGAGAGAGAGGTTGTGTAGAGATGGGAGTAGAACACCCCTATTTATAGTGAATATTTAGGTTTAGGGTTTCTTAGGGTTTTCCCATAGTTTGCCTCTTTCATGATATTGAATTTAGACCGTTGATCAAGGTGACTTGTGCGGTGAGAGATTTGAGCCATCCATTCCATAGATGGGCCATCAACATTATGGAAGGTGCTTGGACCATTATCTCCCTTTCTTTAAACCATTTTCCCATCAATATATTTAAATAAAATAAAGATCATGCATTCCATAAAATTGTATGATCCATCTCACATATTCCATAAGTATATGTCAAATATTATCAAGCAAATAAATACTATTAAATATAAATAAGATAAGGTCAATATTTACTATCTATTCAAATTGACCATATCCTTTTAAAGCAAACGTACAATAAAATAAATAAAGCCATGGTCAATATTTTGCTTCCAAGATTTGACCACATGCCATAAATCAAAGTTACCATAACTTAAAGACTTGAACATAAAGCAAACAAAGAATCCAAAGGGTGGGACGTGCTACCCTTTTGTGGCACATGTGGGCCCCTACACACATGCCACATGGTTGGCCCATGTGCACTTTGGGCCCTCATGAAATTTTATAAAAAGTTTTAAAATTAAATAAAACGAATTAATATATATTTGAATTTTTACAACTTTGTAAAATTAATAACTGTATTTTTATGAGTCCAAAAATCATAAATAAAATATTAAGAGATTCATAAAAATTCAAATAATAAAACTAAAAATCATTTCAATAATAAAATAGACACAATTAAATTAATATGATGAAAAAATGATCCATATGGTTTTAGGAATTCAATCTGTAATTATGGGGTACTCCACCTTCAACTGTGGACTACAGACCACACTAGTTTTATCGACCTGACCCAGTGTTTTTCATGACCCACAGTCCAAGCAGGGGCTCATTAGCGGGTCACCAAAGTCAGGCCGATGAATCAAGGGGTCACAATCCCAGTCTGTGGATTACAGTTTCTCTCCCAGAGACGAGTCAAGGTCACCACGACCTGATGCGACCACAACTTTATGGCGTATAGGGGTATCTCTCGCATATGCATACGCTTAACCCAAAGGTGGATATCTGACTTTTCGAACGATCTATCGATATGTATGCCGTGTGACGGAACATAGATGAAGTTTTGGCTCCCGTCTCAGTACACAAGGGTCACACAGTCCCTCGGCTCACTCATCTAGGCATAAGCTCCGATTTCATTAAGGGCTAACCCAAAACCGCCCAGGTACCTTGGGTTTTTCAACCGATTGGCCTAGATCGATAAGCACAGTCAAGTATAAGCAAACATCATTCGTTTAGTATGGTCCTCGAGGGGCCATACTCCCATTGAGTTTATGTTTCACTATAATAAAAGTATTTCTATACACACTCATAAGGCCTTTAAAGACCACATAAACCCAACAAATATAAGATGCGACAAATATCAGAATGGATGTAGTAGGTGTGCTACCTTTTTGTTATTAATTTCTCAAAAAACAACACATTTTCAAATGATATAGTAGCAATGTCTTTGTTTTCTTTTCCTTTTTATTCTTTAGATCTAACATGATGCACATAGTGCATATCAAATATCAACAATAACTGTAATATCAGCCATCATGCTGATATTTTCAGACGATACTTTCACAAAACTGCTTTTATTTGACAACCGAGAAATTTGGCTTTATAACATCATGATTAGGTATATCGCCTATGGCATGGACTTGACCAGCTATATCAGCCATATATCAGAAGTTGTAATGGATTTTCAAACAAACATTGGAATCTACTTGGTCATGTGCTACTCCCTATGCTCAGTAATGTGGAGAATTCCGACTAGTTATTGCTTTCCTACCCCATCAAAAAATTCATTCAGTGAAGAATCATGAGTGCTTTTAGGAAAACCATCCGTGGATGAGAATCAATAGGATCATTACCACCAGGAATTCTCAATAGAATATGCCTGTACCCACCTTCTTCAAAGGATTATGTGTCTTAATATGAACATTTTAGATTTAGATAATTGATACAGTTATGATCTCTACTTTTTTGTTTTTTTAATAATAAATAGAAAATGCTCTCAACATTCTGGTCATTCACGGTTAACATTGTACTGAAGGGAAAAACCTTGATCTGCATGCATTCAGATACACAATTCTACTATCATAAAACATTGTTGTTTCTTGAATTAGGCATTTGTGCTTTCATGTAGAATCACGAGCAAATATCACTTCTTGGTTGAGTGAAAAAACTGACATGCACTGTGCAACTTGTAACTAAGTCTTTTTAGATATGTTTAACCAACCAGCTTTCACTGTACCTCGGGAGCTTTATTAATGAATGGACTCAACTGTAAACTAAGCAACCAAGTTTTTTGGAATAAAGAATACTAGAAAAATGAATAGTGATGATTACAGAGAAAAGGGCCAAATCAAGCTGAGTAATAACACATGCTTATACAAAATTCAAACTCCTATTTGTGGTTCTCTCCCCATTTCTTGCTTTGACTACTTTGCACTGAGGTTTATTTCTTTCTAAACGATCCAACATTGTCGCTTCATTTCTTGTCTGATATTTGTAGATCTGCAGCTGCTGCTAGAAAACTTGAGGAAGAAGGTTTTCAAAATATATCATGCATTACCTCTGGCCTTCAATCAGTAAAACCAAGTTCATTTCATTCATTTTACAGCCACACGTGTGCACACCCAGAGAGAGAGACTTTGTGAAATTCAAATTACTATATTGCATGGTTTTACCATTATGATGAAGGATTTCAAAACTTCATGTAGGAACATTTGATTCTGTGGGAAAAGTTGAGCTATGAGATGCAGGCAAGGCTGGCCTCGTATCATTCAAGGCAAAATTTCAGCTGCATTAGGCACCATCCTCATCTGTAAGTTGATTCTTTCTAGCTCTTCTCATGGCTACACACTAGCTTTCTCATTTACAAGAAAAACAACAATTATTTCAAGGATAAATTTTGGTGAATTCATCTCATTAATAATCTAGCAATGTTCCAATGGAATGATAAACAAGGTCTCAAGTTTCTCTTATTTGATCAGCTCTTATCATAACTCTTGGAAATTTGAAGGCTCTTATTCACTTCAATGCTATGCATAGTTTCTGAACAATGTAGGAAAATTGCAAAGACCATATCACCTCTTTGTTTCTCTTTATCTTATTTATTTATTTATAATGTTAACCTTTAATTGATAAAAAAAAAAGGGCAGTACAAAAGGCCTTGGCGATCCACAGAGGAGGATGCTCAAGGGAAATTAGAACAAAAAAGTAGAATCAAGTTCTTTTTTAGGAGCTTACAATGGGACATAGCAACCTAATAAAATTGGTCGATCTGAAAATCAAGAAGAAGAACTGTCCAAAAAGAGTCAAGAACCCAAAAAATTATCAATTGTCTGCTATCTCTGCTGCTTCTTTGGCGAGTGTATTAGCTTCCTGGTTTCCTTCCCTCCATGTATGCATCCACAAGATTGACATATTCTTGCAAAGGTGATCAATCTCATCAAAGTGTGCCAGGAATCAGGGGGGAGAAGAAGAAAGTCTTTGAGCCCAAGAAATGGTGTTCTTGGAGTCTCTCTCCACCACTAGAGATTGTAGGTGGAGGGGGTCTATGAGCTTTAAGCTTTCCAACAAAGCTAGAGCTTCAGATTTCATGGAGTTGGCATGGCCAATATGTTTGGAGATGGTGGCCAGTGCAGAGATAAAGTGGTCCCTAAGAATGGCTCCTGCTCCTGATGGACCGGGGTTCCCAATAGAGTAACCGTCAAAATTCAGTTTGAGTTGTCCCATTGGTGGAGGTCTCCACCTAGTGGTCCTTAGCAGACACACTCGATAGACTTGGTGGACATTGCGCTAATCCTGGCTAAACCCCGAGGTTGGAATTCCTTTGTAATAGCGATGGTTTGTAGCTCAGAAGATAATGGGGGACTTGGGCTTGTCAAAAGGTTTGGTCCAAGGGGAATATTCCCCCCAGAATGTTCTGTTGTTTTGCTCTATTCATAGGGCCCATAAGGTGCCGGCCACCGAGGATTTCCAGAGTAGTATCCCCGCCTTAGGCCAAGGATAAGGTTTGATGGCTGAGAGGATGGATGTTACCTCTGCCGGAACATTGAAGATTTTAAGGATTACGCCCCATGTGTTTAGGGCAAAGGAACAATGCAGGAGTAGGTGGTTATTTATTTTCTCAGCTGGTTGGCACATAACACATCAGTTAGGGATTAGGAGGCCCCTTCTTTGCAACTGATCCACAGTGAGGACTCTTTGAGAAAGAGCCATCCATGTGAAGATCTTAATTTTAGGGGGGCAAAGGAGTCTCATGCTTGAGCAGCTGTAGTAGCAGGAGCTAAGGGGAACATTGGAGGTAGGGAGAGGCTTTTACAGAAGGAGGAAACTGTGAAGAAGCCAGAGGGTGCAGATGCCACATAATGCAATCTAGACATGTGGGTGCTAAGAAGGTGGATTGAAGTTTTGCCGCTAAAATTGTGAAGTTCGCCATCTCAGAGTCATTAAGGGCCCTTCTGAAGACTAGGTTCCAAGAGCGAGTGGACCCTATCAATAGAATTTCATCCGCTATAGTGGCCCCATGATCTCTAGCTAGAGAGTAGAGGTCAGGGAATCTGCCCTAAGAGGAGTGTGACCTAACCCCAGGTCTTGCTAGAATAGAATGTGGTTCCCTGATCTCGTATGGAATCTGATTCTGGATTTGAAAGCATGGAAGGCAGAACATATCGACCTCCAAATGCCCGAGGATCTCTGATTAGTCCTACAGTTTGGCAGCCTACGGTGTATTGGAGAGATGGTATTTATGCTTGGGTACATCTATCCATAACTTATCCCTAAGGTTCGTCAGGTGCTAGCACCATTTGCCCAGGAGAGCCAAATTCCGAGTTCTAAGATTATTGATCCCAAGCCCTCCTCTTTTTCTGGACTGGCAAAGTTTATCCCAAGCAAGTAAGTGGAATTTGTTATTGGCTCCATCTCCACACTAGAAAAACCTTCTTATTAACTGTTCGATACTAGAACTGATTGCCACGAGCGTGTGGAAGATGGACATTTGGTAGACCGGGATGTTAGCCATAGTGGCTTTAATCAATATTAGCCTTCCTCCCGGAGAGAGAAAATGACCATTCCATCATGCGAGTCTACAGTCCACTTTGTCTATGATATGAGACCACAATCTCAATTTTGGTTTGCGTAAGCAAAGTGGCAGTCCAAGGTATTTAGATGGCTATGTTTCGGCCTTGCAACCCCATCTCTTGGCAAAATTTGAGAGTGTAGTTGAATCAACCTTAACACCCATCATCTTGGTTTTGTCGAAGTTGACTTTGAAGCCAGTTGCGAAATTCGAAACACCTGAGAAATGGGAAAAGGTTATGGTTCACTTTGATTGTGGCGTTGTAGAAGACCAATGTATCATCTGCGTATTGGAGGTGAGAGACCGTAGGGGCCCGAGATCCGAACGAGAATCCATGCAGGCGTCCAGCCACATACATTCTGGATATTGATCTACTGAAGACCTCAGCCGCAATGGCGAAAAGGAAGGGAGATAGGGGGTCTCCCTGTCTGAGGCCTCTAGTAGAAGGGAAGTATTATTTGGGGGTACCATTAATGAGAATGGAGAAGTTAGCCTGCAAGTAACATGCTTTAATCCATGCTCTCCATTTAGTCCCGAAACCCATCCTGGCCTGAGTTTCTTCAAGGATATCCCAATCTACGTGGTCGTAGGCCTTTTTCCAATCCAACGTAACTACGATGCTAAGGGCATTGGCCAGATTTCTTTGCTTCTCTTTATCATATTTTATTCATTTGTCTTTGTTCTAAAATAGCTATTAAATCTGGTTAAACAAAATATGTAGTTTGAGATAATCATTGCCATAACTTTGTTGCTTTTAATCAAAGCTTAATTCATATTCTTTGTTCTGATATTTAATCATCACATGCAGGTGCATATCTCTCCATTACTTTTTTTCCCGAACAGGCGGATAAACTTTTTCAGTTGGGCCCTACTAGCTAGGACTCCACATAACAGAAAGAATATTAGAGAGGATTTGTTCTCATTCTTTGTGGCTTCATGAAATGATGATGAGCTACTAGTGCATGCGAACTAACAACATGTTGAAAGCACAGTGGATAAAGAAATGTTCCAATGTACCCTGCTCTATATGGCTGCCGAGGTCCGTGTGTGTGTGTGAGAGAGAGAGAGAGAGTTTGATCCATCAAGTACATGCTCCATTGGATAAATATCCTATATTTAGGATATTTAAAAAAAATTACCATTCAAAAGAGAGAGAGAGAGAGATTTTGTTGGTAATTGTAAATTGAAGTTTCCTCTGGAGTACATATATTTTTTTGCCTAGTTTGGCTCCAAAATCCAAACTCAAACAAACACTGGCAGCAACTCACATGAGATTTTGGTGTAAAGCAAATTGTTTCCACACATGCTATTTATGTATGATTTGCAAATACAAAATGTTACTCATGAAATCAACATGTGAACCCACCTTTCAGAAAAACAAATTATCTACTTTTTTAAATTTCTCTTCCTTCAATATTTGCTACCAGCGAACTGCTGATTGCAGAAAGCATGTTACAACACCTCTGATTCACAGAGAACAGTTTGGATAGTAGTGCAAATTTAATACAAAACAATTTTATTCATGAATGAGGGCAAAATATCGAGCATTTTGGGATGTTTTTCAAATAAGCAGGGGAGAGAGAGTGGTATCTTTACAAATAATTGGTCCATACAACCTGGGGCCTAGGCTTGTTAGAACCTAAAAATTTCATTATAAATGCATAGAAGGTAAAAATTTAGAAAACAAGAGGGTGTGTGTTTGCTAAAGGTACTTGAACTATGCATGACATGTGACCAGTGTTTTGAAACATGACTTGGCCAAAGTAGAGGCGAGCTGCTCGGGCAAGTCCAAGTAACTCATCCGAATTCATTCTTATTTTTTTAAAAAATAAAAAAATAAAAAAATAAAAGACATATAATATTGCTCGCCGCTTTTTAACATTAGTTGTTGAATATTGTAGTGGTTAGAGACTAGCTGCCTTTGGGCGCCTCCTTTATGAGGGATATTGGGTGGTTTGATTCCCATGAACTTAATTCTTTTAGCTCCTGTATTTTAACTTTACTGTACTTTAACACGAAAATGTCGATAATAAACGTTCGTGCAACTTTTGATTTGTAATAGACATAGTAATTTATATAAACTATAAAAATCTGATGTACACTTTACTTGGTGGAAACTCGCCTCGACCTTAGGGCGAGGCCGAGTTACTTGGCCGATTTCGTGTAGGCTTTGGCTGAGTCTCATAACACTGCATGTGATCATTTATTCAAGAAGAGAGGGAGATGGAATCAAAGAAAGAAGATTGGCTTTGATTGCTAGCTACTTCTTTTGTGGTTAATGCTTCCTCCTTGAATTCAGTTTTCTCACAACACATCTCCATTGCAGGTGTATGTAAATGGCAAATTTTCTATAAACTTTTTCTTTGATCTACAGAAAGTGACTTTCGACCACTGAATAACAAGATACACAAACTGTTTCCAAGCTTTCAAACTGGAGCATTGATTTGGGTTTTCCAGTCATTCAAATGAACCACTATTGAATGCTTTAAAGCACCATAACTAGAGCTATGGCAATACCGAGGTTAGAGAGCCTAAAATTACACGTTGTATTAGCCTTTGAAACATAAGCCATGACTTAGTAGCCCAACATTCATTGCATAATACTGAACAATTTTTCGTGCAATCACCAATTGCAAAACAATTTTTTTGGCTGAACCAACCAAATGTTTGAAGCGGTCCCTGCGTGTTGTATTGAAATACGAGAATAAAGAAGTACAAAAATAAGAATTACGTTGGTCACACCATGCATTATCACTCTCTTTTTCAATCACTGCTGGTCAATCTCTTTAGCTTTCTTTGTGCTTTTAAAATCACAAGCTGGAAATCCTCTGTTTTTGTTTTGAGTTTTTCATTAATACTAGCTACTTGGAGTCCATTTTCTTGCGATAATAGTGTTTAAAAAATCGGTGATTCGGTTTGGAATTGCTCAATCCGAATCAAAACTCATTTTGGCGATCTGATTCCCGTAATATATCGGGAATAGGTTGTGCCATTGAGAATTGGCGGGTTTGGGTGTCGGTCTATATCAGTTCCCCGACTGGTTCCGTTAGAGACAACCAGAAGATTCTACGAGTGAACTGGCTGTTAATTGAAAATTTTGTTATTTGTACTTTTGAAATCTTCAAATATATTTTTAAAGGCCAAGCTTTCTATGCGTTCCCCTTATCCAACCGTCCATTCTGAATGGAGGGTTAAGATTGTCTCGATCACAATGTCACGTCTCTACACTATTTTATTTTTAATTTTTTTTATAAATTATTTTGATATCAAATTTTGGACGTCTATGGCTCTATTAAACTTGCACTAGCAAACAATATAAAAAAATATTCTCAATAAAATAAAATGACCAAATATCCTTGAAAGTTTTAAGAGATATTTTAGCCATTATATTTTATCGAAAGATTATTTTTAATATTTTTTTATAGGTGCGCCTCAATGTAAAGATGGTACGTACCAAATTTCATATTCATACAGTTTGTATAAAAAAACTAAAAATAAAATACTTTGAGTCATTAATTTTAAGATCAAATGGTGAATAACTATCTTGATCAAAATTGGACGACTGGATGCTAAAGGGAGGATAGAACTTCTATAAGAGAAAGCATAGAAAGCATATGAGGTGAGGTATAAAAACCTTTCTTTTGTCCTTTTGAAATAAAATAGTACAACTTAACCAGTCCACCTCATGTTTTTTTTTTTTGAAATTAAATAATTGACTGGTCCATCCCTTGGTCCTTCCAGCCTATGTTCCTTCCACGTGGAAGTGGTATTTTTTCTATTTTTGAAATTAAATAATTGGCGTGGTACTTTTTTTATTTTGAAATTAAATAAGAGCAATGGTATTATGAAACCCTTTAATATTTATATATGTAGGATTTTATAAATTATCATTAAATTTATCACATATCTTTAAAAATAATATCATATAAGTATAAAACTTGATTTTTTTTATACATCTGTATCAAATTTAGAAACGATCTTTTTAAAGCAGAGTCTCGTAGAATCATTACCGACTGATCATTACTCATTAAATAGTTGACTGGTCTATCGATTGCCCCTTCCACCCATGTTCCTTCCTACTTTATATTTTTTTTTATATTAATTTATATTTTTTGAAATTAAATAATTGACTGGTCCATACGTTTTTTCTTGTACTCTCTCTTTTTTTAAAATTAAATACACGTGGTACTATCTCTTTTTTGAACTTAAATAATTGATCCCCCCCCCCGGGTCTATTGCGTACGTAAAAAGTTAAATAGTTGGGTGGGCTGGCCTAATAAAAAGGTAAATAGTTGGCTGGCCCATCCCGTGTAAGTGGTACTTTCTTCTACTTTCTCTTTATTGAATGTACCACGCACAAGAAAATCGCGCGTACCGTTCCCAATTGAGGAGAAACAATCTTTTATAGAACTCAATGTTTCTCCAAATTTACCATGTGGGACAATTTCATCCCCTTTTCTCAACAATAACGTGTTCTTTTACGTAGAACCAATGGTTTAAAAAGCGGATCGGTGACTTGGATCGGGCACTTCAAAAATCGATCTGGATCGGAAGATCGAGAATCGGTCAGATTGAAGCTTAAAAAAAATCCGAAAAATTTATTAAAATTTATTATAAATATTATTTTTTAGGAATTCAATAAAAAATGAGGGTACTCCATTAAGAATTTTTATTTCTTTGTATGAATATGCGAATATTGATATGTTCTTTCCCTGCATAAACTACTATTTATCATTTAATTTACGTCACACAAAAGGATAAACATAGAATTATCATGGAATAAGTATATCAACATACATGGACTACAATAAAGCATACAATTAGTAACATACGATCTAAAATAAAATGACAGACGACGTCGTTCTTCTTCTTGGTCATGCTGGTGCCATTGATTGAATTCCTTTGACAATTCATTGATTCGATCTAAAAACGAATCATCGATATTAGCAGGCGTCTGACTATATCCAAATCCTTGAGTGTTCTATTGTGTTCTCAATCCAAAATCCCCGAAGCTTGTCCATCTTTCATGCTCACCTACACTGTCGTGCTCATCCCTACCCTGTTGCTGTTGGGACTCGATATGTGAATAATATGGCTGGGATTGGGTGGCCTCGGAATCATCAGCTCTCTCATTTTCCCTTAGACCCCCTTCCCACTCTCCCTCATTAGGTGCAATATCATCGACTCTCCGACGAATTGTGGATACATTGGCTGACTGCTTCCTCTTTCATGCTGCTCATCACATTTTTCAAGATTTTCCTCACCGATAGCCTCAAGGAACGCTCTCTTGTACAACACTGGCTCCTCCTCTTCTACTACCCATTGGTCTGCTGTGTCTGTGACAAATATTGTGTCTAAGTCTATCGACCCATAGTCTTCAAGCTTCCTTCTTATTTGTCGCTCTCGGAAGTTTAAGTTGTAATGAACGTAGACTAGTTTATGAAGCTTCTCTGAAGCGAGTCGATTTCTCCTAGTAGTGTGCAACCATTGGAAAGTACTCCAGTTGCGCTCACAGCCAGTAGCAGAACATGTTTGGGAGAGCACATTGATTGCGATCCTCTTTAGGTGAGGTGCATCAGTACCATATATCTCCCGCCATTCAGCTGTATTAAAATGCAAAAAGCATTGTAAGGGCAAGAACAATTCATAAGATTAAATATATGAATGAACAAAATATTAGCTAGGAGATAACTTGGATCCAAGTTCGAGAATTCCTGGTAAGTCTAGTTTCGAAAGATCCTATAGCATCCCTATACATAGCAAGCTAAAACAAATATATTTCGTTTTAATGCATTATTCCTCACAAATATAACAACTCAATAAAGTTCTTACTCAAACATTAAATAATACCTCTTGTACTGCTGCTACCTGGTTTCGATGGCTTCTCTCCAACTTGACAATAATGTATCTAACCCCTTCCATAATCTTGTGGGGATGTTCAGGTGTCAAATAGAAAATTTTGGGTTGAAGAAGTAACCTGGAAAATATATCGATAGAGAAATGTTATTTAAAATTTCATAAAAAAATAATTTACAATGAAACATTCTAATGATATAAATATTTTGGACGTTCCAAATTTGGTGTTCCACCTCCGTTCTATAATCTCGATCACTTTATTAGCAAAACTACACTTCTCCCCAATAGCTGATTTCGCTCTTTCGATACCTTCATAAAGGATGCCCATGGTAGCTTTCTTGGCAGTATCCACCATTCTTAACACCGTGACCAAAGGGGCAGTGGCCTCTACAACACTGGAACATCGAAACCAAAACCTTATATTTGAGACTATGCCGTCCACTTTTATACCGGTA